CACCACCATCATCACCACCACCATCATCACCACCACCACCACCATCATCACCATCACCACCATCATCATCACCACCACCATCATCACCACCACCACCATCACCACCACCACCACCATCATCACCATCACCACCATCATCATCACCACCACCATCATCACCACCATCATCATCACCACCATCATCATCACCACCATCATCATCACCACCATCATCATCATCACCACCACCACATCATCATCGGCTCTCTTTGACCAGGTACAGAGTAAGAAAAATAGTGAAGAACAAGTGTCATGCATCCTTCTCCCCAGTCCCCAGTCCCTCTCCCCAATGCAGCAAGGGCCACCAACTTCCTACATATCCATCTGGAGGGAGTCTGGCATTCAGGGAGTGTTTAGTGAGTGAACAAAGAAGGGTGAGGGCAAGGCGAGGCACAAGCAGCAGCACCCCCCGCCCCCCCGGAAAGGAGAAGCCCAGCGCGACAGTACCTCTTTGCCGGCCGCACCATCTGTACCGGGTTCACCCTGTGGAGTAGAGAGTGGGAGACGTGTGATAGGCACTAATCCAGCATGGCGTCCCCTGCCTCCCCTTGCCCACCACAGGTGCCCAGCCCTGGGCCACCAAGGGACCACGATTCTCTAGCCCTCACCCTCAGACCCTCGGGGCACAGACCATGGAAACTTAGATCCCCACCCCCCCCATCCCCAATTCTAGCCTGTCCCGGAGCCCCACACCAACAGCCCTGGCCGCCCCCTGACCGAGCTGGGCAAGGGAAGAGCAGACTGCACACTCCTGGCTCCTGGCTCGAGGCCCCCGCATCTTGCAGGAGCCCTAGCTCTGAGTTTATGTTACATGTTTGCCGAGCCTGCTCCCTCCCCAGGACAGGATGGGCTGCATCGTGGGCCCAGCCTGCTTCTGGTGAGATGGTGGGAAAGACTCTGATTGCCAGGCAACTGGATGATGTATCCAGGGGTCCTGGAGGCTCCAGGGAAGGCCAGAAGGTTGGAGGGACCCACCTGCCCCAGGGCTGTGGCAAGAATCAGAGTGTGTAGGTGAGACTCAGCCCTCTTGGCGGCTGGGCCAACCATCACCGCTGCACAGGCTGGAGTCATCCATCCCATTGAGGCCACCAGCCCCAGGGTCATGGCTACTGTTCCCAGAAGAGAACACCCTGACCTGGGGGGCTAGGAAACCTGGGTTCCTGCCTCAGTTTCCCCAGGAGACTTCATCCCTAAGACTGGCAATCCAACCACCTGATGTGGGTCACTTGTCTGGAAACTTTGAAAGCGGGAGGATTGCAGAGTGGCTAAGGATGCAAGTTTTGGAATCAGGCAGGCTCTTCCGCTCACTAGCTGTTACGATTCTGGGCAACCTACTTAACCTGGCTGAGCCTTGGTTTCCTCATCTGTAAAATGGGGGACAATCAGACCTAGTAAATAGGATTGCAGTACCGATTAAATGACAAAATGTCAAGCACTTAGGGGGCGCCTGGGTGGCTCAGTCGTTAAGCGTCTGCCTTCGGCTCAGGTCATGATCCCAGGGTCCTGGGATCGAG